TATTTTACAATATTTACAGGAACAACAAAGACAGTGGCGTTCCACTTCTATAAATATTTTTCTTCAAATAATATATGTACTTTCATTTTAATATAATCACAAAGTAGCCAATAATAATAATAACCAATAATTTATAAAAATAAAACCCTATACGTTTAAACCGATTTAAGTTTATTTAGTTAAAATTAAATATTTAGCAGTCTGTGATGAACTTTGTTCAGACATGCTCATTGCAACACTTGAACTACAGCCACAGTGTCGACTAACAGCACTTAAAACAGAGAAGAGTATAAGTAACTTAGTATTTTTATGTTATTATGGAAAAAAGTATTATTTTTAAATTTTGTAGTGAATAAAAATTTGATGCAGTGTAATAGATGTAGTGTAATAGTCAAATTGCCACCTTATAGCACTACAAAAAACTAAAGAATAATTTGACAAAAATTTAAATTTAATTTAACAACTTCTGTAATAACAATTTTAATGTTAAAATAAAGAATCTTCTTTTAAGATTCCACAGATTCATTCCTTCAAAGTTAAACCAAAATTTATCTTAATTATATTACATATATATTTATTTCCATCACGTTGTTATTTCGACAAAATATAGGAAGCATATAGAGAGAATACAATATCAAAATAGACAAAAATGATATTTTTATTCTCTACAGAACCGCAGATACCTATATAACTATTTACAAGAGTCTATAGATATATTGTAATCATATTTTGATACAAACATCTTCATTTTACTTACGTATGTTATTGGTACTTATCTCAAATGTATATATGGAAAGAGGTAATTCAAAATTTTCGAATATTATGAAGTTCGAGCAGCTCGAGTACTCAAGCTACTCTTTTACCTGATTTGCTCTACATTTTATATTATTTTCTTTTGTACAACAGAATATTACTCGAATGTCATATAATGTTCAGGCATTTTACGGTAAATCTTTGTGTTTGAACTCAAGAACAAAATGCTTTAAATTGAAGAGCTCAAAGAGCTTAAACCAAATTAGAAGCTAAAGTGACAACTAACTGCTACTTAACAACATCAAAAAATGGTGGAGGAATTTTACAAATAACTCAAGAACAAAATGCTTCAAGCTGCTTTAAGTTATTATAGCTAAAGTGACCGCTAATTGCTTTAAAGTGCTACTTAACAGCACCAAAAACTTGTGGAGGAGTTTTACAAAAAATTTATTTGTATAAACAATTTTAATGTTAAAATTAAAAATTATATTTAACACACTTTAAAGTTTTTTGTAAAATAGAAAACCAATGAACCTTACTATGTATAAAATTAAATAAATAAAAATTAAATAATCTTATATTCTCATATGCTCTTCCTGCACATATTTTTATTATTTAATATTAAAGTTTTATATTTTTTATAAATTCTAATTTTATAATAATTGCTTTATATTTATTGTTTTTCATATTTTTATTAAAGTTTATATCTTTATATAAATAATTGATGGAAATGTAATGAGCTTAGTATATGACTTTTGTTTAGTTTGTAGTAAAATCTGTTTGTTTAATTTTTTACGTGTCATTAATATATATATATACATATATAGCATGTCTATAAATAATACTGCAATCTAAACTAAACGTGTATATGTAAATGCTACACATATCTATATGCATATATATGGTATATATATATACACACATCTATGGAACAAAATTTCTTTCTATAAATTAAAATTGCCATTCATTCTTGGTTAAATTTCTAAATTTAAATAAATTATTAGTTGCAATTTATTTAATATTAAATTTTTTATTTCTTGTTTAAATTATTTTATATTATTTGATTTTTGCTGTAGATTAATGAATATTTAATTTTTGTTGTCATAATTTATTACTTTTTTACAATTCATATTTGTAATTTACAGACATAAAAAGTTGAAGGCACAATATCAATTATTTATTACTAATTTATTTAATATTATTTTTTTAAATTTATTTTTAATACAATACCGTTTCAATGTTACGTTTATTTAATTAAAACAATTTTTTTTTTTGCTTATTTAATTTTTAAATACAGTTTGGCATTCTGTCCATGTGTGCAAAAAAATGCCTAATAAGAATGTTCGTTTGCTGTTATCAAAACCAATTTATATTCAAAAAAAAAATGTTAATTAATTCAGAAAAACTAATTCAATTTGGAGAGGTTGTAGTGCGATTTGTAATCCAGATATGTTTAAAGAGTAGTTTTTGCTTTGAATATGCAATTTAAATGCTTTAAGGTTAAATAATTTTTGTGCGTATTAAGAAAAAAAAAAAAAATTAAATAATGAATTAAATTTAATGACAATATGTTACATCTGTAGGTAATCTTCTGATTAAGGGAAAGGATTAATTCACCTATATACTCTATCATATTGTTAGTAATGGTCGGATTGCCGTCGCAGAGCCGATTGTCGTTTCTGACAAATAAGTCCTATTCCTTCTTCCAAGGATCGATCTATAAATAACATTATCGGTTTGGGCTAAACTACAGTAATAACTGAGTTCTGTTATCTTTCTTAAGTAATCAATAGATGACTTGCACTCTTGGTACAATCTTAGAACCAAGTATATTAGAAAAGTAACAAATATCCGAAATATTGAATGACTGAATCCTTGTAATGAATGAGAATAATTTTTTTTTCGATAAATTTTTAACTGAAACTATAGACGACCCATATTTACTAAAATCATTTGTAAGCGATTTTAGCTTAACGACCGTTTCTGGGTTTTTTAATATTTGCAGAAACACTAAATGGGCTACAACAAATTCTCAAGTAGTTAAATGTTATCTAAGTTATCTTTTGTGATTATTTACATAATATTCGTAATAATAAAACCTTGTTTAAAATCAAAGAATCTATAACAGTTTGTATGTTAAACATGAGTGTTCATATCTATCTCCTGCCCTCTAGTTCTTTTGGTTCATTAACATCATTTTATATTCTATCTGTAGTCGAAATTCTTATGTTTATCTCTGTTTACGAGGATCATCACAAAGTAGTCGTTGGGCTTGAACTTATTCTGGCTCTTTGTGGCTTATATTGGAACAAGAGTTTTTGTTGCATAGTACTTCTCGTAGGATATAATCAATTCAGTAAACATTCCCTTCAGTATGTTAATATTGCCATCATATATGTCTGTAACATATCTCTTCCTGTTAGAGTTTAAAGCTCATCATTCGATATTATGGCATAAATTTTCAAAAGTACTTATTGAAGTATTGGATTTTTCAGTTATGTGGCGAGGTCTTCATCCTAGGCTAGTTTGAGAGTTGCGGATTTTCTGTCACGTATTTTGGAGCGTTAAATTTAGTTTAGCTTTCTCAATAATTTAAGCTACAGAAGAGAAGTATCTTTGCAATTATAAGTTGTTATCGACAAATGATATGTAAAGTATGAGTTGATTCAAGCAATTTAGAATAAAAAACTTTTTAAATTAAAATTTAATTGTGGATTTGTTTAATTATTTATATTATTTAAATATTATATTGAACTTAGAATACAAAAAAGTAACAACAAATAAATAAAACAAATACTAAAATAAAATTAAACTAAATGACTAAGAAGGCTAAAGACATAAAACATAGAAGTTGAAAATTGAAAATTGAAAATTAAAGTCATTCAATTTGCAAATCAATAATTAAAATAAAGCAATTGGAATGTGCGACTTAAGTTATCACTAACCTCTTAGCATAATTATTTATAAATATTAAATATATAATGTATATATACATAAGTCCAAAATATATAGGAAAGTCATTTTTACAATTTAATCGAAAACTTAGACGTTATTTGCTGAGGAGAAAATCTTAACATTTTGTCCCTAGTTTAGATAATGAAATATAGTAAGTCAATTTTTACAAATGTGCACAAGTTAAATAAAGTCACAGAAATTACAATTAAATATAAATTACAATTAAATAAATTATTAACTAAATTATATATAAAATATTTTTAAGTAACTAAGACTTATAGTTGTAGAAATCAATTAAATGCTCACATTTTGCATTGACTCTGCCATCAAAGCTCACCTACACACAAGCGTGTATACATTGTATCGATTTATTGTATATTTAATAATATTTAATTTTTTTTTTAATTTTATTTAATTCAAATATAATTTAATTTCTATCAAATTAATTTATTGTTGATATAAATTTGTGGCGTAACTAAAATTTGTGCTTAAATCTACTGTACAACAGTCGCTTTCAAAAAAGAAATCATTTTAAATCATTTAAAAATTTAATCATTTAACTAAATTCTTGACTTCAAATTATCTTGAACTAAAGTTTTAACACGTCTCATATCGTCAAATCATCATATCATCACAAACAGGAAACGGAAATTACTTCTATTTACACCAGTAAAATTTTGTCTAAATTTTGAGTGATCAAATCAATTTTTTATAATATTAATTTTTAGTCCTATTTGTATTGCACTATTTAAAAAATTTTTCCTTCTTATGATTTTATTGCTATTTTCTGCGTCTGCGGGTCGCGATTGCTATCATATTTGTGCCATTGGCAAAAAAGTAGCCTCACAATTTCGATGGATCATAGTTCTCCAAACGCCATTGTTGTCGCAGATGACTTGTATTGCATTCTTCCATCAGTATCTTATCCTTCTTCTCGCTGATAGTCAGGCATTTGTCGGAAGAACCATGTCGCAGTTGTTTGCTGTCACTGTTATAGGACCAGAACTGTAAAAGAGAATTGTATGGATTAAAAATTGTGTAAGGAAATACTTAATGAATGTCAGCATTTGGAAATAAATAAAAAATTTATAATCATATCCAAGCCATAATCGGGAGCTACAGTAGCTGGCGACTCACGTTATAGACGAATTCTGTTAACAACTGTAGCCACCGACTGTTGCTCAATCAGGTGTAGTGCTGCAGAAATGTATTTGCTCAAATACATTATATATATTATATATTAAGTTTATATTATGTTTACGTTTAGTAATCATAAACTTAAAAATTGTTACTAAAAGTAATATTAAAATCAGCATTTTCCAACTTTATTAGGAAGACAACGGAACCACTCAAGAATTGCTGGTTTTGTAACCATATAGCTGTCATCCATATAGTTGTCATCCTGTCATTTTGAGCTGTCATCCTGTAATGTTAGGGACCTAGCCAAGTTTATAGAACTGTCAGGTTGATTTTCCTTTACCTAATGGGGGCGTCGTTATCTTCTTTTCGGTGTTGATTCTATACTGATCTAAATCTATGTACATACCAACGCCATTCCTGTGGTACCACAATGGGCTATCATTTGAGCTCAAGTCGGCTTTCTGGAGTACAAGGCCGCCACTACTACCATATATATGACCTATACCATATACATAGTAAATAGAGCACTATTACAAGGACTATGTTTGCTACGAAGAATCTTCGGTATAATGCTAGTGAAGGCTAAATATTAGTGAATATTTATTAAATATGATATAAAGAACTAAATCCAAGATGGAAATATATTAGTTCCACAGCAATTTGGACCCATTCTTCATGCTAATTCGTTAGAGAAGAAGAGAGGTCTTCTCGGGTACCGTGAATTGACGACGGAACAGCGATTTGTAAGCTATAGGTGTTAATAATACAATGGACTAGTTACACATAAAGTTGTTTGGATAAAGTTTCTGGAAGAAACCCACGCTCATGAAGAGGTGTAACATAATGCTATGATGCTGATAACTGTTAGTAAGAGTATATCCTTACAAAATGTTTTACTAAATGTAGTTTAGTGCATACTCGTATTAGGAGTTGTAGGTTCTCTAAAATAAAAATGTCTGAACTACTAGAAAATCAAGTCATCAGATCGATTTTTAGGATCTATAACTGACAAATATTTCTACTCTGTCATAGATTAGACGTCAAAAAAGAAGTGCAAGTTATGAATTATTGTAATTATAGTTGACATAAAGCTATGAGAGACATCAACATTCCAGAAATTGATCCGGCTCAGGATGATGACCATTGAAAGCGTTAGAAATGTGATATTTTGATAAATATTAAAATGTTTGAAGAATAATGTTCTGGACAAAATCAAATTAAATTTCCTTTATTCATACTAATAGTTACATTATCTTAGAATGTGCTTTCGTAAGGGTGCATTTTGGTAGCACCCTTTAAAACAAAACATTATTTATTATCTGCAGTGTTCGGCATTCTGTGTTATTTCAAAGTATACCAATTTATCTTAAGCTTGAAATATTACTAGCAAATGTTTTAAAGCAACTTCAATGCCAATTGTATTTTGAGTTGGAAAAACACAAATTTATCAAAGTCAAAATATAAAATAACAAATTTCCTTTAGAGCAAATGCTTTCAGCATTTAAAGCTGTTTGCTCCTGGTTTCTTGGAGTATTTGTGTAGTGCACTCTCTTTTGGCAACCTATCCATAACCAAAAGCACTTCGCATAGTTGCACCAAAGGAACATTCAATATTTTTAAGTAATCCCCTGTGCTTTAATGCAACCGAAATCCCTGAAGGTTCCCTAAGCCCCAAGCAGCAAGCAGCAAGCTCTACAACTGACAACGCACACTTATCGTGTACTGCATTCCAAGCAAATGTATTTCACGTTTCGATTTGCTGATTTTATTTTAGCACAAAAAAGTACATTAATAATGTTGCTTACCTGATTTCCTTTGGAGCCATGGCAGGGATACAGTATAACATCAAGTCCGGCATAATCGAGACAAGCTTCATCTCGGCGGATCTCACCAGCTTTGCTTAGCATCCAATACTGTTAGAAGAAAGCATCACGAAACAATTGCAAGGAATTCACATTCATGTCCACGAGTGTGTGTGTGTGTGTGTGTGTGTGTGCAATGTATCCATGGAATGCACCATCGGAGGCACCAACAGTAGCATCACGACCATCAGCAAAACCATAAATAAATAACAGCGTTCGTGCAGTTGAGAGTTTATGTAATGGTAACGTCATCACCAGGACCAGCATAAAAATTGTTTCAGAGTTGAGTGGAATAAAAAAAGGATGGAAATAAGTAAATAAATTTTGTTCTTCTCTATAGAAATGCACATATTAAAATTAAAATAAGAGCAAAAAGCAAATAAATAAAAAATGAAATTAAAATGAGAAATACTATATAATAAAAAGCGACGATTTAATTCTTTTTTATTATTATATTATTATTTTTTTCTTTTTTGTATCATTTTGTTATGTTGTTTCCTCTTCCGTTGAACGATACACCAAATGGCCAAAGAATATTGGCAAAACAGGGTGCGTCGTAGGAACATCAAAAGGAACGCAGTAAGAACTTAATTGTATTAAGAGATTTGTAAGTGAAAGTAGCCGATTTATTATTGGTTAGTCTAGAGTCAGTCATGAATATTTTAATTTCAACAGAATTTTAATCATAGTCCATTAAAACAAATGAAACAGAGACTGAGATACAAAATATATAACCGGAAAGTGGATAGAGAAGAGAAGGGAATGGAAAAAGAATAAGAGAAAAGAAAAAAAAGAGAAGAAGCGAGAAGAGAAGTGAATGGAAGAGAAGAAAAAAGAAAGTAGAGTAGAGCAGAATAGAATAGAGTAGAGTAGAGCAGAATAGAATAGAGTAGAGTAGAGTAGAGTAGAGTAGAGTAGAGTAGAGTAGAGTAGAGTAGAGTAGAGTAGAGTAGAGTAGAGTAGAG